GTCCGATGCATGCTGGGCATAATTCTCCACTTATTTCTTCATTTCTCTTTTGTAGCACATACTCACGATAACCTGCGATTATTGAAGGTGACAATTAATTTATCGCGTAGATTAATAATTGCTAATGCATTTGCGAGGAGTGACCATATTTCGGTATTTGCGTACTGAGACTCGACAGCCAATGATAATTATTACAAGTACAATATTGTACTCGATGCTCTGGCGTTTTCTTTGCTTTAGATATTGTGTTGATGTAATAACTGTTCTCACTATTTTTATAGATTTTAATAAGAATTTTTGAATTTATGATGTTTGCGAATATTTTGCGCACTTTGGCATCAATATGGACTTATTTTGACTTTTAATACGCTAATATATAATATACGAATATAAAACAATGAAAGTCCGTCTGTAGATTAATATATATATATATATATATATATATACATACATACATTAAAACTAATAGTCAGAGTAAATTTACAAAGATGCGGTGTCCACTGATAAAAATACCTCCATATGTTAATTAGTACAAAAATTTCTTCTATCAAGAATGACATTGGCAAAAGAATATAAAATTTGGAAGCAGTATTGCGAAAAAACGTCTTTATCTTCTGGCTGCGATACACAAAGTGAAAGAATCGGAGTCGAAAGTTTATATAGTCGTTAGTTTTATGTAGACATTATTTTTATCTTTGATTTTACTTTTATTTTTATTTAATGTCATACAACTGTATTATATTACGTACATTAAAATTTGTTGTTTTGGCTCGTAGCCCTTCTTAGCACAATTTCTTTTATTTGAATTATTTGAGCCATATTTTATTATGTCTTTTTAATTTTAATAAATATTTGTTTGAATATTTCTGAGTAAATGTAAACATATATTTGGATACAAAAACCATTAATTTAATTCAACTATCATTTTTTTATTATGTAAATATTTATTTTCTACAAGTAAATATTTGCTTATTGTTAATAATATTCAAAGAAATATGTATTAAGATTTAGTAAATTATTTTTCAGTGTATTTCGCATTTCTTATAATCTGAAAATGGATAGGTGAATTAGCGAGATATTAAAAGCACGGTGCACACGTGACTTAATGTATATTTAAGTATAACTCAGCATCACTCAGAAATGCATTTATCATCTGTAAATATCGCAACGAGACAGCTTATAATTCCCATTTCCCTATCAACTAACGATCTACTTTAAACGTAGTTCAGTCGCGTGAAGTATTTGATCCGATAACTAGCTGTTACACTGTAGCATCACTATTCAGAGTTGTTAATACTGGATTAATCAGTCACGCAAACTAATTACAAAATGGACATGTTATATTATAGATTTTATAAAGAGTTGACACACAAGCCAATCGGTAAAATAATGAAGTTTAAAACAACGATTATATTTTAAGGGACAGTAAGGCTATATGTATTATATAATGGAGAAAATATTGGAAATAGGAATAAATATTAAGATTCCAAACCATGTATTCCAGTAACTAGTTTCTGATAGGTTGAAATCTTAATATTCGTTTCTATTCCTAATATTTTCCCTATGTGTGAGCAAGACCTAAAGCAACAACACATGGAACAGCTTGCCCTGGTTTTTATTTGCTCGAAACTCACCGGGTGTATGGTGAGCGCGTATATACGCAACACTGCGCGAAGGAACGAAGGCTGTGCGTTCGATATCAATTATCTTCATAATAAAAACATTTAATGTACTGTAAGAAAACGTTGATTCTTATAAGTAATAATTTGTTTCTTACATTGCAAATCAATTTCGAAGAAGCTATTACTGTATATTAAATTTTGATCATTTGGAGAACAAAATTTGTCTTCGTTCTGATCGAGCAGATGTTTATTTAAATTTATATAATTAGTATTTTACGTTTTTTTTTCTTTCAAATTTTTACGTTTCGAGAGAAATAAAATTATGTGAGTTCAATAAAGAATTTTTGTGATATTAGAATATATCTTGAGAAGATAATATGAAAATAATATTTATTATTAATATATTGCGAATTAACTGATTGCAATAAATGACGGAACAAAGTATCTATTAGAAAATCAAAATAGAAAGACAAAATCACAACTCTAATCATACTTTTAGTTCGCTTTGTTGAACTAAAAATTAGTCTCTCTCTCTCTCTCTCTCTCTCTCTCTCTCTCTCTCTCTCATATCTAAGTTATTATAGAAATTAATATGTAAATAACAAATCAATACATATATAAGCGATAGTATGAATTGTACATTGCAGACGATAACTTTGATGATCTTTAATCTCGACTTTAATCGCTTATATTGTTTCTAACTTATAACTCTCGAAATATCATAAGGTAACTCCAACAAATACGCCGCGCTGGGATTTAAGCCGCAGAAGTCAGAAAAAATAGAAGAAGTGGGTAATTTTCCCGCAATTACTCTGTTATATGCCTTTATGTTATATTAGTATTGTGTTATGATTTCAGCTTCCTACTGTTAATGAAATATTAATGAAATTATTGTGAGTTGAATCGATTTGCCACTGTAATAAATAACGCCATCATAAAGTATAATCTATATAAAATAATTACTTAGGGCGTGTAAAAGACTTAGTGATTATTTCGTGATACATACGTGTAGTGGAATAGTAAAACATGTTGTGTAGCAAAATGCTTTGCTACACAAGTGCTTTGCTTTCGTATTCTTTGTTTAGTTTGTTGTCATGCATAGCCCACCTGTTTGGGATATACGGCACTTTTAGCGAGCGGGATTTATGCCCAAAGCATACAAAGTGCACAGATTGAATTCAGTACTAAATGCGCAATAAACGTATTATATGAAATATGTACCTCATGTCATAATACTTGTAATATATGTAGAAAGATTGTAATTATTATTTATTACTTCATATACATATTTACCATTTTTATTCCTTAATAAAACTTTATAAACGCATTTTATAAGTTATTGTCTCTTATTTATATGTATCTGATTTCTAATATTTTTTTCATAGTAGTAAACAGTACAAAGTTTTTACTAATATAGTTCCGTTTACTATAAACATAATAAATAATACTTAATAAATTAAAATTTTAATCGGTGCGGCATATATACCGGAGTTATCCTATACTCCCCATATTCTCATATTTTCGTATTGATATTTTCTGTTCCAATTAATCTATTTTAATTAATCTCCAAAATAGGTTATTATATGCATAAAAAATAAAATTATTATCGTTATAGAATATCTCGTACATTCTCAATTTAATAATAATTAATAATAAAATATTAATAAATTAATTAATAATATATTATTAACCTTTAGTATACGTAATGATTTTCTTTACTGTACATGATGGGTCTTTCGTGTCTTAATTTTCATCACTTTTACAAATGTATGAAAATGTATTAAATAATTTTTATACCTATATACTTTAGAAAGTATTTGTAAAATTGTGTATTTAAAGGAAAGAAATACGTAGTATACAAATGACCCATATGTACTAAGGTATTAATTTATTAAAATTTGAGTGTTTATAAAATTATACTAATTAATAAACCTGATTATAAAAAATAATAATTTATTAATTCTACATCAATATTTAATTGTTGAATTGTTATTACCGATATTGACCAGTTTTAATAATTGATTTATATAATCTTTTTAATTATAAATTAGCTAGTGTTAATAAAATTAAGGATTGTAAAACAATTCATATTTATTACATATGATATATTCAACGCGATCGATGAATGTTGGACATCTATTGAGGATCGTGAAAATTTTAAGCCTACTTTACCGTCGACCGATCTGGTAAGACCGGTTCTTTATATTCTTCAATATACCCTCGAGAGACTTTCCATTTGTTGTATTATACCTATCACAGAGACAGCTGCAGTACCTGCAGAATCGCAGGAGTGGAAAGCAGCGACCAGAAGTAAGCGTGATGAAAGCGCAAAAAGATTAGAAACAGAACAGAGATTATATAGCATATAATCATATCATAGATTTTATTTTGAAAAATATAATTGAACTAAATCCAATGCTACACGCAAAATTATATGCAATGTGTGAAAGATTTAAAAAAATATTTTATATATTATCAATTAGCTATTATTATTATGTTTTAAAATGTAAGAAACGTAGAAAATTTTAATAATATTTATAAAACTCTTTTTTACTTTGAGTAATAAAAGAAAAAGTATCTCAATTATATTGTTTAGTAACACAATCTCGAAAACACAATGACAATACTAACTCCCGCGGTTTCGAGCAATTGGTTTCGAATCGAAGGAAAGTTGAATGGTCATGAAAATGAACAAGACGGTCTTCCTTATTCGAAGAATAAATGGAACCGCATCGTACAGATTCTATTGTTTTACCGCAAAACCACAAAGTATGCGAAACTATTTCCGAAATGATACTAGTAACTATACTTCCTGTTATTGAACTTCAAATTCGGAGATAGGTGGAATTTCTTTTCAAAAGATATGACATGTGGTTGCAAATCGTTTGTCGATCGAATCTTTTTGGCAAAATACATTTCTTGCGAGTGTTCTAATCTTAACTTATCATCTGGAAATGTGGTTAATTTAAAATATTCAATCTCTGTTAAATTCGCGTGTGTGAAAAACGAGCTGCAAAAATGGGATGAAACCCGAAGAGCCGTAGCTCACGGGAACGTAGCATTGCGAACGTTTTTTGACCGTGTGATTCACGGACGATCTGGCAACAACGGGGCCCAAGGAGATCTCGCGGGAGTACAAGTCCCGTGAGATAGAGACACGGTAAACGTGAGCAGAAAAAGGAGCTATATAGGTATCAGGCGGTAGTGTGACTGAGTCGAAGCGACGGTGGAAGGCGGGAAGAGAGAAAGAGAGAAAGAGAGACCGGCCTCTGAGATTGCTTGAGAGGCAGCATAGTCGAGCGCGAGGACCTGGTCCAGCGCTCATAAAATGAACTCTCGTCTTGAAAGATAAAAAAGTTTTCCTGAAGATTTCCTTTTGTCGCAGTGATTTTTCTCAAAACGACGAAGACTCGAAAGTAACCGGAAACAAAAACCTTTCAAAACGACAGTCAGAAAAAAAAGACGTACAGTGCGAAGTTCGACTACTGGCCTCTTCCATGTGATCTGCTAAGAATTAGTTCCTTTCGTGCTCTTGACAAGCATCTCACTGGTCTGGTTGTGCGAAAAGGTAAGCGTCACTCGATCGATTCATCGATTGCTCGCCTGCGGCGCTGAATTTTCCGGCGAAAAAATTGCCGGATCTCATCAATAATGTTGTCGCTATTGTGTGACGCGTAATCTTTGATTCCGAACCGGATTCTATTTATGTTTAATCACGTGTCAATGTATAAAGTTTTCATAAGGCACGTGATATTTTTCGATGAAAAAAGAAGAGAAAAAGAAAAATCAAGCGAAAACGCACAGTGTTTAAATATTTTTTATTAAAATATCACATAAATATTGTCATTAGTAACAGCAGACGTTTCGCGACTTTAGTACTTTTTGCAAAAAATGTATAGAGAAAAAATTAAATCAAAAAGAGTCGATTATTTATAAAATTGATTGTTTATAATGCAATGTGCCTCTTAAATAGATTAAATACGAAGTTTGTTAAAGAGATTTTGATTGGTATAACATTTCACTTTCGTACGAAAAGTTACATTACATAAAAAGATTAATTTTTGAAGTCATTTACATTAAAAAACACTAACCAAATTTACAGAGTGATTTAGATTTACTTAGACCCTCTTTAACAACATAATCGATAGCCTTAAAAAGAGACATGATTTTATGACTTTAATTGCGATTATTTTGCTTCCTCATACTTTTTATTGTGTTGACTTTCAGTTACAGTCATACAATAAAAGCTCGATCTATACTTTTAAATTAATATTTTACTATTAAATAATTTATTCTAGAATCTCTCTTCATATCTCACTTTAAGACTGTTAAAATATCTGCATGTGTATCATGCGTTAAATGTGAATAAATTATATTTTACGTGTGCAAATACAAACAGAATGCTTAAAATACTACAGTCTAAAATTGTGTCATCCATCTAAACGTGCAAAAATTTAATTTCAAATAAAGACTCATTACTATTACTACATCTGACATTATCATAGTCAACTCTTATTAATGATTTGAAATATATAAATGAGATACGTATGTGTTAAACATAAGATCTTTGCCTATCGCAAAGAGCAAAAGTGATCAATTCCTCGCGCGTATTATCATTAGCTTCTATTCGACGCGATCTAAACGATAATTAATTCTTTATGGCATTATCAGAGACAAATGTTAAAGCATTCCTGGCAATGACATTTTAATCGAATCACATTGCCCGGAATACGATACGACGCGGTGGGGAAACGCGCTGGAAGGGTAATGATCGCTGCTGATTGCGAGCTCTCATGTCGTGGTACAATCGACGGCCGATGCGTCCGAAAACTACAAAACCTGAACTAATTAAAAGGGAATCAGGAGGTCCAATCGCCATTGGCGTCGCCCCACACCGCAATAACGCAAAATCTCTCCTAGCTTGACGGGATGAACCAACAAACGCACGCGCTCGCACAAATCAAATATTAATGGTGCAATTTGCACCGATTGTACCTTAATCGGTTTTGTCGCTTTTTCTCCGCGAATTTCCGCGTCCGTGACGCAGCGTAACCGACTCGTAAAAAAAAAAAATCTCGACGGGACGCGTCGCCATCCGTTGCGCGCAACTGTCAACTTCTTGCTGCTCTCGCAGTCCTATTAATTTCGGATTATCGCAAATTGCTACCGTTGTCTTCCATTACGAGATTTTCCTGACAACGGAGATGCGATAAGAAATAAATGATAAATGGGTACTCCCTTTAGAGCAAATACGTTCCTCGTTTACGTTTTTAGTACTGGATCGATTCAGAGAGAATGTAGATTGATTATAAGTGCATTTATTTTTCCATTATATTGAGTAATATTATTTAGATAGCGTAATTAACTTTTGTTCTAAAAGGAGTGCACATAAATTTTAATTTTTAATAAATTATTATTATTTCCCATGCTTTTAAATACAGGAATTAAGTTGGATCTGTACGCAATACCGATATTTATGGTACAGGTGACAAGTTTGCAATCTGCAGGACTTGTTTTGTTAATTATTCAAGCCGATTACTTAATTCAAGTTTTGATTAACGATCGTCTGCGTACAAGGACAAGCACGAGAACAATGGGAACTAGAGCTGTTGCCGTTGCGGCGGCGGCAGGTGCTGCTGGGATGTCTGGTGAGGCGGGATTGGCTGGTGTACCAAGGCTGCTGGAGGATCTGGCGCGACTCTCGGAGGATAAAGACTCGGCTGATATCGTGTTCCTACTAGGGAGAGACGAGACCCCTGTTTATGCCCACAGAATAATACTTCAAGCCAGGTTAGTCTCAACGAGCCATTATTTATGAAAACATTAATTTTATCCCTAATTTGAAGAAAATACGATCCCGTGATGTCCCTACAATGTTACGTAATTAGCGAATAAAATATTTAATAACGCAGAGAAACTTGAATAGGTTATAAATTTGAGAGATTTATTGACAAATAAAAAAATCTCGATTAATGTAAATGGAACTTTTTAAGAAGTAAAGATACGATTGTTTTGTTGTATCAAACATTTACATTTCTGATATTTTTTCATATATACTATCAGAAATTCGGCCATGATGCCGTCGATTATTTTGGTAAAGAGATGAGTGTGAGTAATCCTGTAGGTGTTGGATTAATTGTTGATGGTAGTTTTTATTGTAGCATCCTGCTGTTATTATGTCGAATTGCTATCAGCGAAATTTTCTTGGAGAGTTTCAATATCGTGAAAGCACGTGATAAAAAATTGTCATGGGAGAATCAACATTGCAATTTAAAAGCGTACGAGTTTCAGACATGAAGGAAATATTTCCACGAATAAAATATTCAACACAAATATACATATTATACGGAATTAAATTTAATATGAAATGAAATGCGTTAAAGAAACACGATCTTTAGTAAGCGAGAAGGGAATCGTTGGTTCAATCAATTACACTAAATAGGGATATTAATGTAAGATTCAAAATCATTTTATTTTCATTGAAATATACGGTAAGCGTCTATATCTTTTACGAGATAAAACAAACACAGCTTGTCATTCGTAATTCGCAAGAAATATTGGAAAAAGTAGAAAGAAAGAAACAATTACTGAAAGAAACAGCGACTTATTAAACTTCCGCGAATGGAGCGAAGCATCGGAATTCGCACTGGCGATGAATTTTAATTAAGCCTGTTACGGTTTATGAAGATAGTTACGGCGAACGGATCGATTGGCTGCTCTAATTAGTTATACAGCGAGAGGAGTACTCTTTTTCCCTAACCCCACGTCACTTTCATCCCTTAGCTCTCTCCTTCTCCCCCCCTCTCTCTCTCTTTCATGTAGATTCGTAAGAAGAATTCGGTTGATATTTAGAGAGAAGGCGAACTTGTCCGAAGGGTTGGCACATGAGACAAGGCGGCGCTAATTGTAAAGTCAATTATGACATTTCCACGAATCCCTTTAATATCAGGTGCGGAAAGTAACGGCGGGACCTTTGTCATCTCCACCGTCATCTCCACCCTTTAGTATTATTCTCTTCCTCTCCCTCCTCTTTCCGTTTCTCTCTCTCTCTCTCTCTCTCTCTCTCTCCTCTCCTCTCCTCTCCTCTCCTCTCCTCTCCTCTCCTCTCTCCTTTCTTTCTAGATTCGGCTGCTCGCATGAATCTGGGAAAATTAAGTTACGCGTGCTAGTGACAGATGTCCGTGGTCGAAACGAAAGGACAATGCATGCTACTGCGCGCTCAAACTCTTTACGACGCTCTTTCGCATTGAAAATCGTGATAAAGAGATGCGTACTCGAGGATTCGCCTGTCCAGGATGAGTAACGACTCTGAAAAGGTGGAAATAAAATTTTCAAAGAGCAACGCGTAATATAAACATCCCCCGTTCTTGCCAGTAGGCCTCGGGTAATCTTTATTTCGACAGATTTCCGGAGGGTAAAGCAATTTACAATTGTAAATGGAGCTGAAAAGCTGAATGACAATCGCAGATAATGCAAAAATATACAAAAAAAGGATGCTCAAAATATTAAACGATATTAAGTAAGTTCTTGCAATGCGTTGCAATTTCGAAAACAATTTATTGTTTTCAATTTGTTTGAATATAGAGGTTTATAAAAATTACAGCATATAATCGATCTTAATAAATTGCATTACAATAATTTCAATAATTGTGATTATAAAACTAAAGTAAACGTGATTTATAATTACTTACTATTACATATAAAATATGTTTCATAAATTGCGACAATCTATAATCCATTTAAAATAGTTGATTCGTTAAATGTCAAAACGTAATATTTTATAATTTTGACACAATAATGTTTTCCTACGTGATATTTTCTGGTGTAAAACCATGGTTTAC